AGGAGGAGGAGGAGGAGGTTTAGCTAGCATTGGTTGAACCTATAAGCCAGTAAGCATTAATCTTGCAATCCCGGGCCTAAAACCTGAGACTTTGACCGAGGCTTGTGAGACCTTTCACAGCAAGATCGTTTTGATCTCGTTGTCATGCCTTCAAAGGCTGGGTGTCACAAAAGCAGCATGGGGTGACCGAGAAGAGGGGGAACTAGGCGTCCCTTTCCGCTTGTGTTGACAGAGCAGTGCTTTGGGAGGCTAATTCTCCGGGAAGTCCTCAAGGAGGAGTCAGTAGCTATTGTGGTCAACCTGATGAAAGAGCAGGCGGGAAACGAATCTGTTATTGTTGTGGATGTCCTGCCAGGAGGGTACTAGCTGGCTGAATGTCCAGAGAAGATGCGCGCCAAGCACACAAACTTACAATAACATATATATATATATAGAGAGAGTTACCTTCAATGCTTTCACGGTTGCCGGATTATATATAGTGTATTTTTCCAAAAAAAGACCTGGATAGGGGCAGCCTCTTGGGCCGTGTAAGGCAGCCAACGGCGATGAGACCGTCCAAGCCTCAGAGGGGTCAACCATGGTGGCCCCAGTTCCTTCGAGCGCCCATCCGGGCATCGGTTGAGACCCCTTCGCCTCGCCACCGTCCAGGTGCAGTTGAAGGTCCTTCAGACCGTGATGGCCACCCCGTCCACTACTAAGACATGGAGCCACGATGTGAAGACCTTGACGTTGCGGAAGACTTCTAAAAAAGGGGGGGAAGCTCATGCTTAGCGGAACTGATGTTCTTCAATCAGTGCTTCATTGGAATTGGAGATGTGCTTGTTACATTTTGGCTGATCGTTCTTTTCCTTGTTGCGTTCTGAGCTGCTATGCCGCTGAGGCAGTTGCAGCACAGCCTGCAGGGTAGGTACACACACAGATATATATATATATATATTTACTTAGATTACAGTAGGTGATAGAATCAGATAGAAGACGACTGGACGGTAAGTTCATACTGTAATGACAATGATAATAGTGAGATGTAGTGAGTTACTTTTGGGTTTGGATGCCTGCACCAAATGTGCACTGCTGATCAATAAACGGGGAACCTCCCCCACTGTTGCACCTAAATAAGCTTAACCCCAAGATTCACTAATCCTGAAGAGATTCCTGGGGTTGAGATGAAAGGGGATAGTATTGGTGGAGGTGAATTTTCCTGGAATTGAGTTTGCTCTATTTAGGGGTACCACTGAATTCAGCTATGGTGGCTTCATGGAGGGTTAGAGAAATTTCATCAGAAGGTTTTCGGGTTTTGTGATTCCAGATGATGAAATGAATAGGAAAGGAAGTCAGAAGGAATCCAAAGAAGGAGCCAAAGAAAGAACAAATCATCAACATACACAGGATTATGATGGATTATGATCCAATCCCAATGACGCAGCGATGACAAAGGAGGATGCTGAATCAGCAAAGCACACAATACAGAGACAAGCAAAGACAAAAGGTGGTCGGGGGATTTGAAAGGACAAAATAGAGATCAGCAACAAAAGATTGGGGGGGAGGATGTTTAGCTCGATTTACGGGTAGTTTAGTGCTTCATTATACTATTGTGTTTATGGTTTGTTAAGCCTGATAGCTTGGTTTATTAATCCTAGGTGGACATTAAGCATGTCTTTGTGTGATGGTACGGCCAGACGAGAAGTACCAGAACTGGTCATGTTAAAATACAAATATAAATTGATCAATACTCCAATCACACCTGCTCACTTCGTTATAGCATGCTGGGAGAGGTCGCACATCAAGCTTTTGAATGAGACGGTGGTCGAGCAGTTGATGCAGCTCCTTGCACTGAACGGGTTAGATGCAGTTCCTGCGGGAGCCAGGAGTTGGGTCGGGGCAAGAAACAGTCAGACCGTTAGACCTGGCATTTGAGAGGAAGCTTCTTTAGCAACGCCAATGGAGTCAGTCAGTCCTGTCACATACCTGAGTTATTGGTGGACCAATCTTGCCTGGAGCAGCTTGTTATAGTGTTCAGGGGTCTTGTGTGTGTGGGGTTTGATTGTGTCGGAAGGATTGCACCCCTTTTTGATCACCAAGCAGGTTCTGGTATCTTTTTGGAAGCCGTCTCTCTTGGCTTTCGCATGGCGAGCCTGTCACTTCCGAGTTTCTGCTCAAGGCTCCGAATCGCCCGAAAGCAAAGCGAGTCTCCTCGAATCGCTCATCAGACATGGCTCGCCGTGGTGCATCCGTCTTGATCGCCCTCGCCTTCGGCCTCTTCGCCTCGCAGGCGTTCGTGTCGCCCGCCAAGGGCGCGCCAGAGGTCGGGGACACGGGTGGGCAGGAGGCACCATGGCTACAGTATGACTACAGTAACAGCCCAGTCATCGCTAGAGAATCTATCTTCAGTCTTTCAACGTAGGCACAGGTGGCAACATCATGAAAGAACGGGTGCATATCATCCATGTATCCTGTTGAGGATCTTCAGCACGTTTGGATGTTCAACCCATCAAGAGTTTTGACTTGGTGGTGCCAACAACGAAAGACCTTTCTCTTTTCGTCACCTCTGAAAGCACGAGTCTTGGAAGCACGAGGTGGATGCACGAGTCTTGGGCGCCACCTTCGCTGGCCTTGCCCCCCTTGGCCCTGGAGCAGCCAGCCAATGCCTATGACAGCGTCGTGGCCATGCTGCAGAGCTGGTTGGTAGGCGCAGCCGTTGAAAGATCCTAAGGCCCTAAGGGCCTTAAGGGAGAATGACCATGACCCTGACCCATGGAGTTTAGTGTGTTTGTCGCAAGAGTGTTTGGCTTGGGATCCTTCCCTCCCAGGCCCCAAAGTGTAAACGTGTGAAAAAGACCGTTTTGAAGCTTCCATTGCTTTTACCATGCTAGGTGGCATTGCATTGGTCTTGATCTATGGAGCCGCCTTTGTGGCAGCCCTGGCCAATCCTCTCACCAAGAGGCGCACGGAGGTCAAAGCCGAGGTGGATGCCATGAAGAGGGCCTGAGGCAGCGCCATCAGCAAGTGAGGGGCTTTTTGATCTGTCTCAACCAGTGCCCATTGAACAGAAAAGGATGGGTGTGCCCGAAAATGCCCAGTCCAGACTCGAGGAGTGGGCCATTGGAATGGCCGGAAGTCGGGTCAGGACAAGACTGCCGCCATTGCTGGTGCCTCATCAGACCTACCTGCAACACCAATCAATCCCGATAATCATGGGTGAGGCACCCATGACCAACCTATACCAGCCTGCTAGTTTTGCGAACAGAGGCGGCCACCTGGTAACTAGACATGTGATAAGCCCCCTCAAGTTGTGAGGGGCTTCCCAACTAGGAGGCATGTGCTGCTCTTTTGCACGGTGCGAGGTTATTGTACAGCTTGCACAACTCCTCCAATGCGCTGGCCTCAGAAACTTCCCATTTGCAGTGGATTGATTTGATTGCTGATGATTGCTGTACTTTATCACGAAAGCTAGCATCAGCTAGCTGGAGTTGCTCTTGCTTTAGCAAGTCAAGGGCTCGCAGCCTCGAGAATCATGAATCACGTGAAAACTTCACGTGTAGGGGGGCCCCCCCCCCCCGGCGGGTTCAACTCCCCCCTGGGACGCTTCCGGTACGTGCTATAGTGCTATGTTTAGGTGGCAGGTGAAGTAGGACACTGTTTGAGTTTGGAAGGGGGGGCATGAAACATTAAATTTACGCGAGGGTTCAAGGCTTCAATGATGAGCATCACGGGAAGTCAGAAACCAGGCGTATCAGATACACGTGCCTTTGAGCTTCCTTCGGCATCTCAGTGCATATGGCTGACACTTCACTCGACAAAGATGCTCAAACAAACATACATAAACCAGGTGTATCTGATACGCCTGGTTTGTGACTTCCCGTGATGCTCATGATGCTGCGTTGCTTTTCTTCAGTCCCTCATTACATATAC